AAGCCCTAGCTGTGGTCAAAGTCCATGACACTCATGAAGTTTACCTTCCTCCTGGAAATAGCTCTAAACCAAATGTTTTGTTCTTATAAACCACAAACCACGTTGTTATACAGACCATATCAATAAATGGTTACAAATACAATATATCTATATTCTAGCCTTTCTGGAATAAACCTTTATCCTGGTAAGTACTCAATAAAAAATATCATTAGAAAATATCTGCATTAAATTTCATCTGAAACTCCCATGACTTCTTCCTTTCATAAAGCAAGAGACAGATCTACCCAACTGCCACACTATCAAGAAGTTGCTACAAATGATACAGACTTTGATGGCATGGTTGATCCAATTTGTTTTAATGCCTGAACACCATCTTAAGAATGAAAACATTCACTCGTGTAAATATGTCAGTTTTTCTCAATTCTAACCCTTTAAAGAAAATGATTAAACTTTGGAAAGTTATTAGTACTGATCATAATTAAATTTCTGTATTACAATGATTCATTTTCCTGCTCATACACAGGACTATAACTTTTTTTTTTTTTTAATTCAGGAGACAACAATGTATGCATCAATGAACTGCAGTATCTCTGTATTTACACTCAGACCCTGGAGGGACCACCACACCTCCAAGCAGGTTACGCAGAATGATCCACAAGGGCACCAGAGGTAACATGACCCTGTTTCATGCATCAGATACAAACGTGCCCTCCCTGGGGACCAGGAGATTGGTTTCGGGGGGCCATGGCAGGGCCACCGAAGGTACACTGTGCAGCCCCGCCAGGATGCGGACGTCCAGCACATCCTGCAAAACAAACCTTTAAACTAGTCCCTTCACCCCTGCGGCAGGAGCCCAACCGAGGCAGCCACGCAAGAGGCAGGAGACGCGAACCCAGTCCACGGTTGCACAACATCATGTGCCCCGAAGCCACGAGACAGGGCCAGCTCGCCCACGGGATCCCACCAGACCCAGTGCCACTGCCGACCCTGGAGCTCCCCCGGACAGCTGAGAGCTCTGCTGAGGCTCCGTGCGGCAGCCCTTAGCTCCCCGTGGCTCCTTCCTCCCCTCCCTTCTGTGCACCCAACATCCCTTCAGGCTGGGTGACCACCCTCCTGCCCCCGCAAGCTTCACATCGAAACGTCTGCACAGGTAGGAGCCCCAAACCTGCATGGCCACACGCCAAGCGCTGAGCCATGCTCCATGGGCCCTCCCCATCCTCCGGTGGGGCACGCTCCGTCACCCCTCCAGCCTCAACTTCTGGCTTTGCTAGCAGCTATCATGGATTAAGCCTCACACCGCATCATCCTGTATATAATTGTGAGCATTAAAAAGCCTTCCTTTTACAAAATAAAATGTTTTTAGGATGTCATGCCTTTGGGCAAGAACACCTACAGCAAAAATGACTGCTTCTCAATAAAATCCCTTCAAAGGAGAAGGGTTTGAACTACCTCATAATTCTGCTCTCCCATCACCCTGAAGAAGTCTTCATTCTTTGTTTTACATTTTCATAAATCTGCAGCCCATCTCTCGTCAGCGTTTGTTCAGAATATCACAAGATACTCATAAGTCATTTATTTCATAAATCCCACTGCAGAACATGGCAAGATACCTTCTGGTGTATCACTGAAAAGCGTGTCACCTCTCTGGGCAATGTGTCACTTTGTCATGACAATACAGAAACCTTAGCTTCTTTTACAGTGCTTGTTATAGTCTCTTGGCTGCACGGACAACCAACTCAGATGTCAAAACGGCTGAGCATCAGGAGGAGCGTGCGATCGCAAGGCAAGGGCGAAGAAGGGACACAGCGCAAGACAAACCTTAACAGCCTTGCTGCTCTCAGGTAGTTCTCTCTTAGTTTGGCACCTATCCACTGGTAGCTGTTGAAAATAGCTAAATTCTAAAAACAATAATTTCTAAAAACAATATTTGTATGGTTTGCAAGACAAGAGCAGGTTGTACTGCAAGACATTTTTGCCAGGAAGAAAAAAAGACTGTTCCATATTTCTGGTTCATAATCAATACCCAGTCTACAAGTCACCAGGAAGATGAAGCTGCATTATTACTGCAGCAGAAAGCACTGATGGGTTTAAGAAAAAATCCCTCACCATATAAGGGCTGTGAACATTTTCCCACTTAAGACAATGTGTGGGATCATATTCACAGACACAGAAATATGTTCTGTTCTCTGACACCCACAAGTCCTAGAACACTAGGCTGAAGTGCTGGCAAGAATAAGAAGCATTTGTTAAGTAAAAAACTGCCTCACATAATTAGAGAACTGCTGAAAGCTACCAATTTAGTACTCAGGTTTTAAAATTTTAGAATTTTTATTGTAACAACAGTTAAAGCTTCAGTACGGCTAGAAGTGGAAATGCATAACACCAGAACCATATGGCTTGACCAGTGTATCAATACCTGAGGCCAAATTAAACACAAGGTACAAAGAGATCTTGTCATCCCTCAAACATCACCTTCAGCAGATTTTATGCTAATTATACACCGAAGCTGCCCACCACGTAACAGGAGGCACCTTTCCACTGGAGGCGATGCGTTCCCCTACTCCATTGTCCTCAGCCTAGTCGATTTTACCGTCAACTTCTGCAGCTGAATTTCAGAAAGACCTCTTCCACTATGACCATGACTCCCTTGTGTCATACTTCTGCTCCAGTCTGTCAAACTGCCCTTTTATTAATATTAGCAGGGACCATAAATATCTTGCGAAGTGTCTACCGTAGATGAAAAGCGGCCTCTGTCTGGAAGGCTCCTGCTCCTCAGTGGACAAACCCCAAGAACAGCAGCAGCGAAGGAAAGATGGGAACGTGGTGTCGGAAACATAGGGGGCTTGAATATGGATTTTTTGATATATTTGAGATTAAAGTGACGCAAGAGAGAAGCAGATAGCATGAGAGGTTGGTAGGTTTTAATGAAGGGAAGAGCTGGGCACGGCAGCAGCCTGCGATTTGAGAACTGCAGTTCCCAGCAGCTGTGAGCTACAGCTCAGCTCTTCATTTGTAAAAAGCCACTCAAGTCTCCCTCCTGACAATTTTTCTCATCTACAGAGACATTCTCCTGACGTCTCACCTCATACTACTGCTTATTCAGCACCTACCACAATCAAGATGAACTAATGCAAACAGAAAAAGGAAAAGGCAACACCGATGATGGCCTCTCACCATGATGGCCCCTGTGTTCTTAACCTAACACAAATAAATTAAACTTTTAATATAACAGTGGAGTTCCTTTAAGAGTACTTTGTGGTATCTCATGTTTCTTCTAAGCTTCCTTAAGTCAACTGCAGTAAAAAACTGAAAAGTATCAAAAAAGACGATAACAAAGCAAAATTTTAAATCATTTGAAACAGCAACTGAAAAACAATCCAAGTCAACCAAAGTTCTAAAAAGAGTTTAATTGTCCACTTCACAGGCGTATCTCCCTGGAGAAAAGAGGATCAACCACATGACTTGAAGTCAGTGGCTACAGACTACTGATAATTACAGTTAATCAGCGGATAACGTCTGCTGTTACTTTGCTAACTGTGCCACACAACATGAACTTCCAAGAATACACGCGTTTCTGTTTATCAAAATGCTCTTCAGAGTGTATTTTATACTTGTAAGATCACTCTATGATTGCTCTATTTATAGCCTATGTCATATCTTCCAAGCATCAAAATTCAGGGACAAACTAAGCGCCAAAGATTTCACAAGTACGTCTTTACGTTTTAAGCACATCATTGGAAAAATAGTAATGACTGCCAATTTACACTATCCCAGTGGTGTACGTTTGGTTCCTAACCATAAGTGTTTGCTCAACAAGTAGCGCACTCACAGCAGTCCCACCTACTGTTGAACACATTTGACTATTGGCCCTGAATAAGCTCTATTACTGTCCTTCACCCATCTGAGGCAGATTCAGATTTTTTCTGCCCACTAACTCCTATGCTTTTAGAAGGACAAACTTGCTTTCCTCAAATTTTCTTTGCACTAGCTGTCTTTTTCATTTTTTTCCAATAAAATATTTGGAAAGAAATAGCATTTTCCTCCAATAAGCTTAAACTCACATAGCTATGTATTTATTTCACTCTGGATAGTTTACTAACTGAAAGATGTTTCTTCTCATGATATAAAGGAAATGTTCTTCCCCTTACATAAAGGAAAGCTTTTCTGTGCTTAGAGATTCCCTTCCTCCTTTACTCACCATAACTCGATCCCTTAACGTTTTAACTGCTCCACCTCACCAGATCACCTCTAGAGCTGTACATAAAGTCTATGCTCCTTTTCAGCCATAATTTTGTACTTCCCTATAAAATTGCTCACCCTCCAATGACAGCTTCTCCTTTGGGCCAGGAGATCTCTTGGATGAAGTTTCATCCACTCTTCCTGACCGTTATATCTCTACCTTTGACTTTTTCCGTAACGTTTAAACCAGTCGAGCTGAAAAGCACATATCCGACCAACGAAGATGCGCACTAAAACACTTAGGACTTATCTGCTGTCAACAAATTGCTGCACTCCCAGAAAAAAAAAAACGGATAAAAAACTAGCAGTTCTAAAGGACTTTTCATAGGATTTGATGCAATCTGCCATGCCAGCAAATTAAAGCCTACAGAAATCACTAAAATTAGAGAGAGGCCAGATGAAAACTGAAGACGCGCAGTGGCTCTAGGAGATCTTTAAATAGAGCTTAATACAACATTTGGGGGCCTAGTCTGTGCTCAGCTTAGTCCTACTGGGTTGTTAGTTTGTACCATAAAGCAGCATCGAATATTTTTGGTATAGTTTTCTATATTACATTTCACACGGTTTTCAATACGCACTTTCAAATACCTATACAATGGGCCATCTTCTTTGCCAAGCGTCTACACTAGTCTGATGGATTAATACACTCTCACGTAAAGGAAAACATTTTTTCTTATACTGGACAGTCAGTCATGTGAACGGGTAAGTCACACCATTACAGGGTTTTGTATTAGTTGAACGCGTAGTACACTAAAATTCACCATTTCTGAAGCATTATCCAACCTTCACTGCACATCATCAGCCCTCCACTCCTATCGGCAGTCTCAGACGCTAAATGGCAACTCCTGGGAAACAGCATCCGTCTCACGGCCCCCTCGCATCCGATCGGCGAACCCCATCGGCCAGGGCAAAAACCGCAGGGACGGCGTGTGGCCGGGCGCAGAGCTGCCCCACAGCCCCCGGCGGGCACACGCAGCCTCCGGCCGCCCGCACGCGCCGGGAGCTCTGCGAGGCGGCGGGGTGGGCGAGTGTCTGTCTGCTGCCTGCTTCCATATGTGGGTTAATCCCTATTTTCTGGGTTTAGGCTGAAGTTCAGTGCACTGCAGTATTTCCCATCCCTGGCGTCCGTTTTAAGACCAGTGCACACAACCATCACTTTGTACTGATGCACATACCTCAAGGGCAATTAATTCCTTGTTAATCTGAAGTTTTGTGGCTTTAACGGCAAGCACACACCGCTGTCTTGAAATTCCAGATAGTGGACAATCTTCCTTTTAAAATGCCTTTCACAAGCGTCTACTACTTAAAAAAAATTTTAATCAATGATTAAAAAGTGTTGATAAATTCTTATGGGACCAAGGAGTGAAGAATTTGCTCATCAGCACACGCGACTCCTTCCTTTGATGGGCTCCCACAGTTGCCACAAACACTGTTCCTGCCATCTTCCGAGCAGCTGCCTGCAGCCAGGCTCCGCAGAAAGAAACGGTTGCTTTTTACCTGCTGTTCCTTACTTGTTAAACAGTTGATATATCATTTACAATTATTAACGATTATCTGCAGAAATTGGTTTAATATAAAGCCATTTTTAAATATGCGCATCATTTGTATAACAAAACCACACAAAAAAGCTCCTCCTCTGTGAGATATTAGAAAAAAAATACTGTTTGCGTGACTGAGAAACAGTTTTCCACGTCAAGCTTTAGCAAAGGTTAAAGTTCAAATGGGCATCAAGCTATCATGACACATCAAGATATCTGATTACAAGATCACTAAATTAAAACAGCTTTTAAAGTACAGACTGCTTGAAAACAAAGAAACCTTCTTTCACTGGTATTGCACAGAAAGAAGAATACATGACCTTCTCCGAAGTCCGACTCCCTTTCCCTCTCATAAAAACCTACTTATGAACTGCAGCAGCATTAATGTTCTTATCAAAGAGGTCATGTTTTCCAACATACACAGTTTATTTATAATTATGTAGATGCTGAAATCAGCCTGCTGTTCATATTTCTTTAAGAAAGTCTTGCTACTTCCAAGTGAGTAGCTGTAATATGTAATCTAGAGGTTGCCATGGCAAGCATACATTCTCGGTTGGGTATCACAGTAAGCCGATGCGTAAGAGCAAAATCCACGAGATTAAGTCACTTCTCTCGTCACGTAACAATGAGAAAAATGCATTTATCTATCCCTAAACACCAAAAGCACCCAGAACACCTCAGGGTAAAAATCAAGAGTGGCACGTGGCTCAAGCTTTTAGCTGAAGATCAGAGACGTACAAAAGAAAAAATGATTTAATTATAGCAATAGGCAGCCTAGAAATAGCCAAGGTATATATTATTTTTATCTCCCCAAAACCAAGAAACTTCCAAGGGCGCTTTCCCTGACACGACCCTTCACCAGTCCAGCCGCGGAGACAAACCCTGG